AGTACAGTTATGAAATAAAACAAACATCCATGACAATGTTGTCACGCTTCTAGGGACACAGGAACAGACAGAATCACAGGAGATCCAATACGATTCAAACTTTAATCCAAACGCAGGAGTACAGGTATGAAACCAAGCGTAACATAACAGTGACTGAACAATGAAAGCAACTCAGTCTTAAATAGGAAACACAGACGAGACTATTGGGTAAACACACCTGACACAAATGAGACACTAATGATAACTATGGGAACTAATCAGGGAACACAGGAACATGACCAAATAAGGAAAAACAGGAACCCAACAGGAACATAAACCTGACAAAAGTAATGATGACACTAAAATTTTAAATGAGACTGTATAAAACAAACATACAAAAACAAAGAACCCAATATTTATTCACATTTATTCACAACATGAACAAATACAAAATGTTACATTTATCAAAATTGTTTGTTGATAAAACATTTTGACTGATGATCGTCTCTGAAATTATTCTATGTACAAGTTCACAGTTCAATACCACAGGTCTTCTAGAAATGTGATAATGGTTAAAGGATAACGTCCTCAGTTATACTGTATGTTCCTATTTACAAAGGTTTGTAATGGTATGTTTGTATTATGAACAAGCACATTATTTTAACACAGGCTATTGAGCTTTTACAGTGTCAGATTTCTTGTTGTCTTGGTTGGCTGTGTTATCATCAGTAAAGAGCCTCTCTCTCAGTTTATAGTAACTTCCTTTCTTGTCCATCAGTTCCTGATGTGTACCCTGCTCCACCACCTCCCCGCTGTCAATCACCACAATCTGATCCGCCCTCTCAATGGTCTTCAGCCTATGAGCAATCACAAGCAAGGTCTGAGTGGGGCAGCAGGCCAGGGCCTGTTGAACCTGTGGAATAACAAAACATGTAAGGACTCTTTTGATAGTAGCATTAAAGGAAGCAAGGATTTGTGAATGCATATGTACATATGCCTTTGTGTTCATATTGAATAGCCATATTTTACCATTTGTTCACTTTCAGTGTCCAAAGAGCTGGTCACTTCATCCAGTATGAGCACCTGAGGTTGTCTGATCAGAGCTCTGGCGATAGCGATGCGCTGCTTCTGACCTCCCGAGAGCAGATTACCACGCTCTCCCACATCTGACAAAGAAAGCAGGATTTGATGACAATAAAAAATGGAGTGGAATAAAAGGCTGGTCTAGCAAATAGACCAAGCTGCTAAAACCTTCCTTATCAAATAATTAATGGAGTGGCTACAAAAATCCAGAATTGCTGATAATATCAGGAATTCTACAATGACTTTAAATGTAAAGTTCATCTTAGACTAACATGTCTAAGT